GAGATAATAAGAAAGAAGGGGAATGGAGAGAGTTGATGTTGGGGAAACCACGCATATTTATACCCGTAGTGAAAGCACAGCCGCCTCTCAATCACTAGACCATGCATCCTGTGGCAGCAGGGGGTTGGCTGTAGACCCGAATACTGATCATCTGATTCACCTCTGTCCATGGGAGAACAGCGCCGGGGAAGGAGACCAAAGGCTCCATCGGCGCTTCCCCCCAACACCACCTCCCCAGCAAGCACCCGCGACACTGACCACGGCAACAATAATCTCGATGAGGTTTCCCCGTAAGGGTTGGGACGATGTCCCTTGCCGCCGCACATCCGCCACGCGGAGAAGCCTCGGGGTTGTTTTGAGTGCGGAACCACCCACTCTTCCCTTCTGTAGAGATGCCCGCGATGGTTTTGCATGGCCCAACTCGCCTGCGACTATATGGAGAACAGAACACAAGAGGCGCATGGTCCAATGATCTGAGGCGCGTTATGGAATTTGGCTTTGAATGGGACCGGGCTTGGAACTCTCGGAGAAGAGTAGTGGAGAATTGTGAGGTGCAAATATAGCTCGCACTTCAGGAGTGGCACGGATTTCCAAAACTGCCCTGGGTCCCGCAATGGGTCCGTTCTTGGGGCGCGAGCCGATTGTTACCTGCGGTCCTTTTTGGAAAAGTGGCCCTGGGGACACCGCCCCTGGGGACACTACTCTCCCTGGGGACACCGCTCTCCCTGGGGACGCTGCTCTCCCTGGGGACACCGCTCTCCCTGGGGACGCTACTCTCCCTGGGGACACCGCTCTCCCTGGGGACACTACTCTCCCTGGGGACGCTACTCTCCCTGGGGACGCTACTCTCCCTGGGGACACCGCTCTCCCTGGGGACACCGCTCTCCCTGGGGACACCGCTCTCCCTGGGGGCATGATTTCCCTAAGACAGGCGATATACGGCGTCGGCTCAGCTTTCCTGCGGCCAACCCCCTGCAGCTGCCACCAGCCGTGGATGGTCCTCTGAGGCGGCTGTGCCTACCGGGTATAAATATGCGTGGTTTCCCCCTCAAGCCCTTCCGTCCCTCCCTCCTCCTTATTATCTCGACTCATCCTACACCACCGCGAGACACCAACCACCGAGAGGCCCTTGCGTACTCGAGGACGACCGAGCGAACATAAAAAGCCCGATTTTCCCCCAGCGGTGCTCTTCATCCCTCCTCTTTGTTTTTCCAGGGCACCACCATCTTTCAATCATGGCGTCAGCTGATAGTCCCCGCGACGGGCTTCATCACACTGTCGTCATCAGTTCAGATTCGGAGATGGATGAACGCCAGCCCCCGGCGCGAAAGCTACGAAGAAAGAGACCCCGCACAGACTACAGCTATCCAATGTATGAGGCTCAATTTGACGACCCGGCACCCTCTGAAATGTGGCAGCCACCGAAAAGACGTAAAATGCCCAACCTGGACACGGTATTGGTAAGACTCCTCCCTGTAGGGCCCATGGCGAGGCTGATATTGGGATAGGAAACCGCGAACCAGGAAATCCATAACATTTTCGAGGCGGAGCATGCGCGGACAGAGGCGCTGGAGAAAGAAGTGCAACGCCTGCGTGCGGAAATGGCTAGGAAGGATGAGCGGGTTGACAAGCTTGAGACCAAAGTCCGTGAGCTGAAGTATCAATGTCGATGCCAGATCTGTTTTACCATCCCGTCAGGGTGGCGGACCCTTCTGTGTGGACATCGGTATTGCCCGAAATGCGTTCCCCCCATTGGTGAAACCTGCGCCACTTGTCGCCAGGTTATCGCTGGTGTTATCAAGAGCTACTAGGTAGAACACAGACGGTTGAGTTTTTGTCGTATGAAATGTACAGTTAAACAAGTGTAATCGAGATATTGAAGAGGCAGATTTGCATATGTGAGCTGTAGTATTTGCACCTCACGGTTCTCCTGTTCCCCGGCTCGCTCTCAAGATGTTTTTGGCGTGTTGGCGTGTTGTTGGCAGGGATCATTGTGACACATTCGACGTGAGATTAAATTCCAATACTATGGCGATCTTTTAATCTTTTTTATTTATTCTATCATAATGGCAATAATTAGAGGATTCTACTGTATTTAACTAGCTAGGACCACTGAAAAGAGTGGAATTCGAAATGAAAAGACAGGAAAACAATAAAGAGAAAGATTGACAGGCCGGCTGTCAAGACCACAACAGCCATCTCTATAGAAGCGAAGAGTGGGGCAGGGAAGTGAATGAATAAATGATAGTTTAGAAGTGGATTGTTCTTGATGGGAAGAAGACCCTACAATTGATCAATTCAATGAAACATAAGTTCATCTGAATATTGTGCCTCCTGTACATTCTGCCTCATAATTTCATCTTTGTGAAGTGTATCACAAAATACTACTCAGAATATGACAGCCCACGGGTCCTCCCTCACTTGTGGCCTATGTATGCACTCGGTGGATCATCTTTGCATGACTCTGCACATGCATCCTGTGTTCCAGTTTGATCTGGCACCAGCTGCACCACGCTGGCTCCCCGTCCTTCAGATGCCGGAGGTGCTCATCCCGGAAATGGCGGCCCAGGTCCGCGGGCCGCGAGTATCGATGAACGCGCCGGTGATCCGACGACCCGGGGTGCGCGTAACACTCAAAACACCCCCGAGGCTGCTTCGCGTCGCGGATATGCTCCTCGGCGGCGCGGAGGGCATCATCCCACCCCCCAGCAGAGGTAACCTCGCCGTGAGCATCGTTCGCATCGTTGGTGCCATCGGGTGCCTGCGGGGGGTGTGGCGGCGGCGGTGGGGGGGCCTTTGGTCTCCGTCCCCGGCGCGGCCCACCCTCGAGGACACCACAGTACATCTGAACGGCATCAGCACCGGCGTCCCGTCGCCGCAACTCCACCTCCACCGATCTAGATGTCGGCCATGTCAGGAGCTTTGAGAAAAGATAGATCATCGCCGGGAGCAACTGTTCGTCCTGCAGCGTCTCCTTTGCCTCCTCGTCCACCGCCTCGCCGGAGAGCTGCCGTTCGATGTCGATCACGGCTTGCTCGTCGTCGAACTCCTCCCGAACCCGTTTCCGGTACTTATAGAGAAGCCGCTTTCTTGTCTTGTTGACGTCGGCCGTTCGCTTTTCAAGCTTCTCAATTGCCCCGGGATCATTGGCTGCACGGCACGCTGTTTGGCCCGGTCTCGCTTTTGGATGGCTTCCTGCAGCTCTGGGTCCTGTTCCACGATCGCCTTCTGCGCATCCGTCAGATGTCGTGGACGCCGTTTGTCGAGAAAGCGGCCGATCCGCGTGATGGCTCGTATCAGAGGGGAATTGGGGTCCAAGCCGCTGATCAGTGCCTGCATATTGAGGCCCACATTGCGTGGAATATAGTGTTCCAGAAACGTGGGGATATTGGCATGCTTCAGGACTAGATTCTGCTCGGCATCGCCGACCAATCCTGCATGGTTGGTTCGTGTCAGCTTCTATCTGGGCAAAAAGAGATGAGGGCGTCTTCTTACCACTCTTGTTGAGGATCAGACCCCCGCCATACTGGAAGCGATGGTTGAACCAGCAGTGGAGAAAACCGGCGATCTCGGCCATCGTACGGACGGAGGACGAAGGGTCCATCTTTTCTTCAGGGAAGATGCGGACCTCGCCGTCCTCCTTCGCCACTCTGCAGAAGACATAGTGATTGGCCATCTCTGGCTTCAGCGGGATCAGCAGCTGCTGTCGGCCGCCCCCGATCTCCAGTCCCCTGAGCTTGGCCATTGAGGTTAGACTGGGAGCACTGAACGCTTCGAAGAAGAACAGGATGCCGAAGAGAAAAGTATGCGGACTGAGGATCAGAGACGGCTCGTAGATGATCTCCGGCAGGGTGAACGTGTTCCTGGGTCAGATGTCAGCCAGTGTGCATGTCCGGGGATGATATCAGGGAGAACTTACGTCTGTGTGAAGCCGAGGTGCTTCGTAAACTCGTAGCTCAATTCCACCGTCGGAGGGTGGGGCCCCCCGCTGGGGTCGCGCTGGAGCGACACCCGCAGGTCCTTGAATCGCAGGTTGAGGATGGCGCTCTTCCGGTTCAGCGTGAAGAGGCCGAGCAGGTTGTAGAGGCAGATCTGCATCCGCTGCAGCCCAAGCCAGAATCTCTTCTCCTGCGTCCGTAGGACGGTCTTCTGAAGCGTAGCCGTGTCCTCGATGTACGCCGGGTCCTTCTCTTTCTCCTGTGTATCCAGCCCGTGTTTCTTGGCCAGCCGTCGAAGGCTCTTCCACGGCGATCAGCCTCGTCGATCGGCGCGCCCGATGGGGAGTGGGACTTACCTTCCGCATCCGCCGCATCAGCTGTCCGTCGAGCTTGGCGCTTAAAAAACCAAAAAATATCTGCAAGCCAAAACTGCAAGCTAAAAAGATCTGCATATCAAAAAGGTTTGCATGGCAAAAAGATCTGCAAGCCAATTCTCGAAAAGTTAATGCGAAGAATTTCTTATGGCAGAGGTGGCTATTCTCTATTACGTGATGGCTAGGATATTGTTTAACAGAGGGTGAACGCATGTTTCATATCTAAGCTAATAATTTAGTGACACGTGCCCGCATTTGCTGATATAAAAGTGGAATGGCTTCATTATTCGGTGGGCGGATTAAAATTCATCTAAACGATCTGCGTGGCCACTGGACACCTCTGCTATTGTGGCGGACGTAAAGCTTGCGAAAACAGAATTTTCTGCCACCCCCTGAAAAATAGTAGCAAAACACCGCAGAAATAACCAAAATATCCACGTATCTCTAGAATCATTCAAATATCATCCAATTCATTCAAATACGCACCTTTATCATCAAATCTGCCAATATGCCCTCCCAGCTCAGCGAATTTACCACCAATGAGATCGTACGCCTTCTAAACGATGGTTATATGCCTGCTCAGATTGCGCGGACCATTGAGTGCCATCTGGCCACTGTATATCGAATCCAACGAAATATTTGCTGCTTTGGAACTGCTAGAAGTCCTCGTTCAACATGGGGTGTAAAGCCAAAGATCACACCGGATATCTTGTCAGGTTTGGAGGACTTTTTTGAGGCATATTCAACTGCATATCGCGATGAGGCTGTCTGCTTTGTGAAGGATGAATTTGATGTTGATATCCACCCTCGATCGATATCTAGATTGTTGAAGAAACTGAATTTGACACGGAAGAAGGTGATTAATTATTGCAATTGTCACTTATAGAACCTGCTAATCTGTCAGTTCTATTTGATATAGGTTGAACCTGTGGCCAGTCAACGCAACGAAGAACTTCGAGCTGAATGGCGTATTCAAGTTACTCAGTATCAACCTGATCAACTTATCTTTTTAGATGAGAGTGCTGCGAATGAACGTACTGCAGATCGACGATATGGATGGTCAAGCAGAGGATTCCCTTGTCACATTAGAAGGCCCTGTAAACGATCTCGCAGATGGTCAATCTTACCTGCAATAAGTGTCAATGGATATCTTGATTATGATATATATCAGGGGTCCTATAATACAGAGAGGTTCAATGAGTTTGTACGTGTCCGGATACTGCCCAAATGCCAACGAGGTTATCACTACTTAGTGATGGATAATTGCTCTTCTCATCGTTCACAAGCACTGCGAGATCTCTGCAGAGAAGCTGGCATTGGACTTTTATTCTTACCTCCATATTCTCCTGATTATAATCCTATAGAGGAGTCATTTCACGCGTTGAAAGAATGGATTAGAAGATACAGATGTCAGTTAGAGAATCAGTTTGATGGAGATTTTGAAACCTTCTTGCATCATGCAGTTGAGAATTTCATGGGAGAAGAAGATGCAAGAGGATATTTCAGATCTGCTCATATAGGATAGTATTGTAAAATTTAAAAAGATTCAGATTGCAATTCAATTATGATGATATATAATATTTAAGTTTCAAATTCAGAAGCAGAAGCAGTATGAGGTCTGCTGCCATCATTACAAACAGCAGATAAAGACAATTTAATCTCCTTCAACTGTGACTGCCAGATAGGACTCTTTAACCCATTTCTTATTATCGAGAATATACCCATTCCAATATTCAACTGAACCACCTGCTCATTTGTCATTGTCCGTATATGATCCAGTTCAAATCCTTCATTCTGAATAATGCTCTTTGCAGTTAAAAGAGCTTCTGCTCTTCGAGGTCTCTCTGTCATCAACCAGTTGAAGAACTCATCAATAAACAGATCCGCGTGTTCACCAAACTGAGGGATTGGACTACTTCGAATAGGAGGCAGGTTCGGATTCGATGGCAGGTTCGGATTCGATGGCAGGTTCGGATTCGATGGCAGGTTCGGATTCGATGGCAGGTTTGGATTCGATGGCAGGTTCGGATTCGATGGCAGGTTTGGATTCGATGGCAGGTTCGGATTCGATGGCAGGTTTGGATTCGATGGCAGGTTCGGATTCGATGGCAAGTTTGAATTTGATGGCAAGTTTGAATTCGATGACAAGTTTGAATTCAGTCCTCCCATGCCTCCCATTCCTTCCATCATATATTTCATCACCATCACATTGATTATCTCACTTGGAGACACAATATTAGATGAAGAAGGAGTTGAGGGAGATATTGGATACGATAGAAGCTGACAGTCATATCATTTGTTGTGACATTCCGTAACTTGATCTTTATAGGCTACTTTATCCCATTGATAATCACCCGTTCATACAGCCTGAATGAGATCTCAGGCTCAGGGGTAGGTGTTCGCAGAAATCGAGGATCTTCTGACTGTGTCTCCTCCTCCTCCTCCTCCTTATCCTCCTTCTCATCATCAGTTGGATTCTCGTCATTATCCGGAACATCCGGAACAGGCGGTTTGGACAGACGAAGGCGCAGGGTAGTTGGAGTCCTTTTACGAGCTTGCGAGGCAGTAGAACGGTGGGTGTTGCGGGGCATATTGGCAGATTTGATGATAAAGGTGCAGATTTGATGATAAAGGTGCGTATTTGAATGAATTGGATGATATTTGAATGATTCTAGAGATACGTGGATATTTTGGTTATTTCTGCGGTGTTTTGCTACTATTTTTCAGGGGGTGGCAGAAAATTCTGTTTTCGCAAGCTTTACGTCCGCCACAATACATGGACATAAGCGCGTAGGAAGGAACTCCAGCAGCAACCATTCATCATTCAAGAACTACAAGATGCCCAGTTTCAAGACACGATGGATCGTTGTGAGATTAACAGTGTTTTGTGAAATAAAATGGGTTGATGGGGACTTCATTTGATCGATACGGTGCGGCGCGCATTAGAATGGCCAGATATAAATAGATGAAATTCTCAACTTTTGCTTGCTTTTCATTGGAGCAAAATAATGCAACCGCCATTTGCGCACGCTGCCTTTTTGGGATCAGAGACACAGAATCCATGATTATGGCAAATATTGATTGGCGCCATTTAACGGCAGCAACGCTGCCCACATCCGCTTCCTTGAACACTGGCTAGCTCTGCTGCCCCCAACTTTCCAACTCCAGCCTCATCAACTGGCATTCTCAGTTGAAATGAGGAATCAAATAGTTCCAGATGGTGATTTAGGTTTCTCGGCATTTTGTAGCAAAAGTATTAGTGGACGGATATGAACTAATGCGGATTCAGTGTATATGTTGATAGGGCAATGTAGCCTGGCTTGCATTTCGTTTCTGTTTTGATATAGCATGCGTTTGAGTAAGAGTGAGCATGGCCATGATGTGTGAGGACTGCAACTCCTTTTATTGCACATATATATATATATATATCTATACTACAAAACTAGTTCTCTAGGCTCCGTTGATATTCTAACGCCAGTTTCTCCCGAGCGCGACCCCGCACAACAGTTCCATGGGCCTCCTCCTGCATGGTTGAGAAGAGCAGATTTGGCCGGGAGCAGGAGCACCTTCCCCTCACAAACATTGCACTCAACCCCAGCGGCCGGCCATGGAGGGTTGATATGCCTTCGTAGAAAATGCCTTGTAAGTGATCCGGGTGTTGCGTATTTTTTAATGCGGTCCTTCAGCGAGCAACTAGGATTCCCAACGCAGAGAAAGCAAGCCTGAGGCTGTTCAGCTGTAGACTTGGCCTGCACAGACTCCATTGCTTGGTGCAAGAGGACCTCGGTGTTATCCTTTACCAAGCACCTCTGCCGCTTGGTCGGAGGATAAGGGTCATCATCGACCGCGGGCCCGGCGCGAGGGCCGCCCTTCCTTCACGCCACAGAAATGCGACCTCTTCTTTTGATTGTGTTGATCC